ATATATGATTGTTTTTTTTATAAACCAGTTTTTAGTTTTCGTGTCTTTGGGTAAAAGCACAACTTTAAAAGTATTATGTATGCCTGTGTGCGGGTGTATGGAGTGAAACTACCTTCATAGTGAAACCTGTGCTCCATGTAACAGTGTATCACTTCTATACTGCCTGTGATGTCAAAATTGGAAGAAGCTGCAGTCATGTATTCATTTGTTGCAATATGCATCTTGTTTGTGGTGAATAGGACATGTATTATATGTAGAGGCATGTATGGCAGTGAGTTACTAAGGCTCAGTATTACTTTTGAAATAAAAGGAAGTATTCTGATCTTCTAACTTTCCCCAAAGAAGATTCCAATAAAATACTACTCTCACAACAAAGTGTGAAAGCCCTCTTTCTTTTCCTCCAGGAGCCATTTTGGTCATAACAGGAAAAGAGCAAGTGTAGATTATAAAACAACTCCCCCAGTGTTTTAAACTTTTATGTTTTAAGGATCTGACTTTAGTCTATATATTTTGGAGCCATAAATCGTGTAAGAAGGACAAACAGGACAAATACTTATAATATTAAGGATTCCTGGCAGAGAACCAGCTGGCAGAACTGGAGCTGATCCACCTTAAAAAGTAAGTGAAGACAGTTTTTTATTCATTTTCTATTTAATTTGACTTATTTCATTATAAGTGATGTTTTGGGTAAGAGATGTAAGTCCTGTGTAAAACCACCAGGGGGCGGTGCGGGTCCAACCTTTACTCTGGAAACTTCCTTAAATCTGCAGCTTTTGGGGCCGTTAATAATTAATGAATACAGAGCAGAATTTGAAACATTGGAAGCAAACAAACAAGTCCTGTTCCTCCAAATGCAATGGCTTTTGTTTATGGATTAATTGTCAATTTCTGAAATACTGTTTACAATGATCATGAATGCAAATTTGCTTCAGCCTGACTCATGCATTGAAGAGCTGTTTTGAGCACCTGCTTATTGAGGATTCAGTGCATCTGTGAAATATATCATGTCTATCACACTCCTACTTACCTCCACAGGTGCTTGTTATGTGGCCAACACGTATTTAAAAATCAACTCGCTCTCCTCTCTTGCGTCATATTGATGCATACAAATGTTCAGCAGCAAAGTTATTTCCACAGCAGATGGCAGGAGGCAGTCCGTGCTTCCTCAAACATCACCGGGGCGGCCGGTTTGTTTATCGTACATCAGCTCTGTCCTGCCAGCATTAATCAGCCGCCTCACTCTGCCTTCTGGCTCAGGTGCCGCAGCAACCCCGAGCTCTGACATGAAGGCAAACAACGTGGCTCCTAATATCCGGCAGATTAGGCCGAGTGATAAGTTGCTGAATGTGAAATACATTAGCTGGAATTTAAGCTTCTGCAAAGAGAACGGTAGCTGACAGACAACCTTCTTTAAGAGGTGTCTTTATAGAATGAAGGTATAAAAATGATATTTTAAGAGCCAGGATGCTTGTAGCCTTTATGTTATGTTGGATGTGGGGTGACTTTTTGGATGTGGTGTGGAATAGTATATCATTGGCAGGACATGATGTCCTGAAGCCAAACATGTGAATGCATGTGAACTTTGTGCAGCACATACAAAACAGTCAAAACAACACTCAGAAACACTTTGAGAAATAGTTGTTTTTCCAACCTTTACTGTTGGAGTTTAATCAAGTAGTGAAGGATGCAAACATGAACATGATCAAGTCACTACGCTCCTTTAGCTCATAGTGAAGTTGACATTGACTTGGGGAAAGTGAAAGGTTCTTCTGTGATAGGCAACATAAAAATGATTCCTTTTGTTCATTTGAAATCATGCACACTGTTTCTCCAGACCAGAGAAAGGAAGGATTATCAGCGCTGCTCAAATATCCATATCTCCTACATCTGTGATGTAATGGGAGGGGGGGTGGGGGGGGCTTTGTGGCTTACAGTATGGAAGCTGGTACATCTGGAAATGCACCATCCGATTTTAGTACAAAACTGCATCAACTGTAGGCCTGACAAATTTATGCATTTTGTGCATTTATCAAATCTTTCTTTATTGCATTCGGTCACAAATGTTTACTTTCTAATGATAAAAGAGGTGATGAATTAATAACTGTTCGCCGAAGTTAAAAGCAAACTAAATCAATCAACTTTCTGTGCCGCAGTAGACGTGTGCACACACATTTTTAGGGTAGGATGGGATGAAAAAAGAACTCACAAAGTAATACTGCCTGGCTTACTTGGAGAAAGAAATACAAAATATATAAAACTTTGTTTCATGAGAGAAAATCAAGCCCTTGAAAAATTCATCATGTGGTGTGAGTGGAGCAGCCCATATTGAACTGAAAGAGTTGTGCAATAACCTTGGATGCCTGCATGTGTCGATGTGTTTGCACTGAGGAGAGTCGGTAGGAGATAATGCTGTAAATCAGCGTAGCTCCCTGGCTTACCTCCCAGCAGCTGACGAGGATATCGGCTGATAAGATGAGTCTGAGAAAGTTTCTTAGAATTTTATGTATTTGTTTTTTCTTCATGAACTGCGGCGTGGTTAACGATCCGAGCCTTCCAACATGTTCTCATCTGAGCCTGCAACGATCTGAGGCTTTGCTCCTGAATGGATTTCCTATTTGTTGCCTGCATCCCTCTCAGGTCCGATTTACAATGTGTAAAATGATACAGTTTATCTACTGGAAGTTTCAGCCCATCAAGGATGAAATCTTTGAGTTTTTTTCCCTTTAAAGTTATTCAAGTTAAATAAAAGTGATATATACAATGAGTATCTTGATGGCTTTACTTTGTTGTAGGAAGATGAAGTCAGAGCGACAGAGTTGCATAAGAAAATAACAATAACGTTTGCAATCATTTCTGGTCGTCCATGTTTGGAATTGTGATTTAGGACGCAGTTGCAGCAGTTCATCATGCTTCATCGGAATAAGAACAGGATCAATCTGGGAGCCAATTATAAGTCAGGCTGCATTTGCTTTTCCTAATGCTGCTTAAATAAAGAGAGACAACACAGTGAACCGTTCAGCATCCTGTTGATAAATGTGCTTGTTCCAACATGTGCTATGAAGTGCTCACGTAAACCAACGTGACAGGAACTGCGTAGTAATCTGATCAAGTTTATTTACGTTGTGTGAACACTGCCATTGTGTTCAGGGAAGCTCTGGGTGTGCCACTAGTCCAGTGCTTAAGATATTGTTTGAAATGTTTGATTATTCTCTACCTGTCTTGCTAATGAGTTGTGATGTACATATATATCAGCCATGCTATGGATGTTGTGTTTCTCATGCAAACCCTTCATTACATTGTTTATTCATTAGAATGTACAATGTAATAAACCATTTGCGTGCCTACTAGTATGCTTACTACCTTTCAATGCAAAGTGATGACCTAGGTGACAGCATAACGTTTTTTATAGATGATTTATCAAAAGAAGTTGATGCAGATGTGTGAGGTGAGCAACAGGCAGGAGAACACTGTGGAAAATAAGAAAATATTTTAAAAAGCTTCATTTTTTTCTATTAACTTGAGTTGTAGTTATTATCAAAGCATATGCTGTCGGTGATATCCATCCATCCATCCATTATCAATACCGCTTATTCCCTGTTGGGGTCGCGGGGGGAACTGGAGCCTATCCCAGTGGTCAACGGGCGAGAGGCAGGGTACACCCTGGACAGTCCGCCAGTCCATCGCAGGGCCACACACAGGACATACAAGGACAAACAACCACTCACACTCACATTCACTCCTAAGGGCAATTTCCCCAATCTCCAATCAACCTAACATGCAGGTTTTTGGACTGTGGGAGGAAGCCGGAGAACCCGGAGAGAACCCACGCAGACACAGGGAGAACATGCAAACTCCACCCAGAAGGGCCCTGGTTCCCCCGGGATTCGAACCCAGAACCCTCTTGCTGGGAGGCGACAGTGCTAACCACCACACCACTGTGCCGCCGCTGTCGGTGATATGTCCTCATTAAATAAAAACTGAAGTGACATCTGAAAGGAATCTCTCTCTTGTTTGAGAATTCACATAATAAATGACTATTTTCACACTTGGACAAACACACGTGCTTACAGGATTAGGAAAGCTGTTGCCACTGAGCGAATTGCCGAAGTGAGAATTTGCATTGTCAGGTGTCTGATGTTGGCGGGGATTTTCAGGCAGCAGATGGTGACAGTTTACCATCTTCAGTATAACCTGCTCACATCGACCCACATTACTTGTGTGCCTTATGCATACAAACTTGCACAAAGTGGAGCGAACACAAATTTGTACACGCCTCCCGCGCCACCCTCTGAAAGTGGTGGGCACTGTTTGCAAACTTCAGGAAAACAAACGCAGATCGCTCAGTGACAGCGGCCAAACGGTATCGACCATGACATCAGTTGTGTGGATGAGGCAGGAACTGCGGATGACACATTGATTGAAAGATCCTTCTCAGGCTTTCATCCATCATACCAGCCTGTTTGATATCCTCTTGCTGCTCATTCGATTTGCTGGGAGGCGACAGAAAACCATTTAGGCCTGCCCTGACCATTTAGTCACCCATACAGTTGTCTGGACAACACACAGCTGAGACTTTGACATTAGTGTCCCCACAGAGCCAGAAGACAGTGACTTGTTCAGCTTGCATTAATACACAACTGGATTCTGGCCCTGTTTGCCATGGGTGTCCCCACCAGGGGCTTAGAGCCCTGGACATCAGCTCTTAGGATCACTGGGACTCTCAAACCCCTCCAACACGATAAGGTGGCAGCCCAGGGAGAGGTGAAAGACACCATCTCGTTCCAAACAAAATTAAAAAATGAAAATTCAAGGATCTGCCTTCAAGGATCTGCCTTCAATGACAATATGACCAAGAGTAAGCCGAACACACGTCCACAGGTGGGGAACTAAAGGGAGTTGG